CACACACACACACACACATATATATATATATACACACAAAGACCAAGACACTCCCCGCTGCCTGCAGCCTCATACCCCACCGTCAATACGACCAATCACATCTCTTGGGCCATCTCCGCCCACATTAAGAACTCGGACAATGACGATTTGGGCCGTCTCCGTCCACGGGACAACAAGTTCTGCAGATACCCCTACTTGTCTCCAGGGGAAGACAAGTGGGCTCCTCTTTTCCCCACTCACTCGGAATGAATAGTTTATTTACAGGGGCTGTATCTGCTTTGTCTTTGGTGCTCCACTACCCATCACGTGATTCAGCTGCTGTCCCTGCTGCTACAGTCAGCAGGGATCTGGTCCTGGTCTGACTTCATTGTGGTTTCTGTGTTGTGGGGCTGACAGAGTGGGTGGGCAACTTCTAAATATAAAGAGAACCACAGTCTAAGTTTTACCCAATCAGAACAGAGCAGGGCGTGCCATCTGCGCACTACCTTTTTTCCTTTCTCTGTGGGTGGTGGGGGTCAGTTTCCCTCAGCTCAGGTGAACACCTCTCGGGAAAGCCCTCAGCGTTTCCTGGACTATTTCCATCAAGGATAATGTGGTTCCACCATAACACCGTGTGTTCAAGAGCACAACAAAACCACGACAGATCACTTGACTGTTTTTAAAGCGAGGACTGAGAGGCAGTTTGACCGCAGTTGCTGCACCTCTCCATGCACTGAGTGGCTCCAACCTGCCTGGGACTTCAGAGTCCACATCTCAACCCCTTCAGACGGTTACTTAATGAGCATCAAAAATCTTTAATTTGCTGAAAAACTAAATCTGTATTATTCACACGCGGGTGGAGTTGAGGTGCAATTTGGAGTGCAGCCGTGCGGGGTCGGGAGGGGGCTCTCTTTTAAAGATGTGTCTACGTTTGACTTTCATTTTTTCTAAAATCACAGAGCTCTCTGAGTCAGCTTCAGGTGCTTGTAGTTAATCACAATACCTTCTAAATTTAACTAGGCGTTTCAATGTCTTTAAATTACACAATAATTTTACTGGAGAAACTTGTCAGTTTGGTTAAAAATTTTTTAAAAAACAGTAAAAACAATTTTTTTTCTGTGCAGAGAGCTTCCTCTGCTACAATTTTTTAAAATAAATATATCAAAGCTCCTCAGTTGAAACCACAAATGATAGAAGAGCTGTTTAAAACCTCTTTCCTCAGAAAATCTTCAGTCCTAAGAACACTAAACGGTAACTTTTAATAAAGGTCATGTACAAAGAATACTCCTATTTTAATAAAAATCTTTTACCTGTAGGCAGAAAGCTTATGGGTGTTGATTTTTGGTTTCTATTTCAAAGAGGATGAGGAGAACAAGGTTTTACTCAAGCATCTCCCGAAACTATCAACCTGCTGACTGAGAACATTTATATCAGGGGTACTCAATTAAAATTTAAAGAGGTCCAGTCAGAGAACATTTTGTGAGACCAAGGTCCAGAAGATCAAAATGTCAGACTGATATGTGTGTGCGTTTGTGTGTAGCTATTGTTGTATCAACATCTGCATACATTGAAATGAATTCACTCTTATTCAAAAACTTACAATATTTATTGTCACGAAACACAAAGTTGAACATGTACGTCTGATTTCTGATGTTCTCATTTACTGAGCAAATGTAGGATAACATGTCAAAATAAGAACTTGGGCAAAAGGACAACTGTAAATGTTCACAAGTGACTAACCAGTCATAAAAAATGGAGGAAAAGGTTGAGTTTAACACCTGGACTGAACTGTCTCAAAAATATTTTAAGAATTTAAATCTGAACACATTTAATAACAGAACATTTTTATGCAATCCCTTATTTATTTTGTGCTCAGTGAGAGAAGTGAGCTCTTGCTCGTCCTGCCAGAATTTTAAACCTGGGCTTGAATGGAGTCAGAGCCATTCTCATGCATGTGTGGAGGTGCTCATTGGTCAGCCTGGAACTGTATTTGTTTTTTATTATGTTCATTGTGGAGAAAGCTGCTTCACAGTTGTGAGTGGAGCCAAACATGGTCAAGATCTGCAAGGCTACTTGCTTCAGACCTGGGAAAGCTGAATCAGGAACCATCTGGAGCCAGAAAGTGGAAGGATCAGTCCTGACAAACTGCTCCTTCAGGGMCAAATCTGCTTGGAGATCAACTAACTGCATCTGTAAATGCCCAGCATTTGCCCATTTGAGGTGCTTTCAATTTTTGAAATTTTCTGGGTAATTTTTCTCAAGCTCTCTCATTCGTCCTCGCTTTACTTGGCGGTATCACGTGGTATAGAGAAACTCGCAGGTAACTGGTCTGTGGGTTTCCTTTGACTCTGATCACCTAACTTACTGTAAAAGCTGCGCCGGTAAACCAGAAAGGGATCCGCGCACAGAATTTGAGCGACCACAAGATTAATCACCAAGCAGATTTATTAACAAGGGAATATTAAAAATGACACGAAACAGCAACGTGTGGAAGTTTCGTTCTTTTTTCCCCCCCTCTAACGCAGAGGGGCAAGCAGCAGAGGGGCTGTGGTGTGTGTGTGTGCGCGCTTGATACGTCAGTGCAGCTGGAGAATTATTAGAGGGAATATTAAAAATGACACGAAACAGCAACTTTGTATAATTATTTTTTAAATATTTAACCACCACAGAACCACTTAAGTGAGCTAATTCAGTTGTTTAGTTTGATACGGGCAGCAGGCGTCTGTCCATAATAAAAAGCTACGTCACGGTCCGGTTCAGCTCAGCTGCTCCACTCCTCTTTTGGATCAGCGCTGCGGGTTCATTATGAACAGGTTTACGTGAGCGGGACCTGGCCGCCTTCACCTGTGGTCTTATGAATGACCTGGGGAGGCTTAAAGCCGGACTGGTCTGTGCGGTAATTGTGCGGATTTGACTTATGAAAGGGGCTGATCATGTATTGCGTTCGGGTCCGCATGAGACCCCCACTCGGTCCGGATCGAGGTCCGCCTATTAGTGACCTCTGACTTATATTAAACTTTGTATGCAGAACAATATACTTATTAAATTACATTTTTATTGAGTTTTTTTTTTTTTTTTTTGGACAACCAGATGTTGAGGTCACCACAAAAAAAAATAAATAAATAATCCTAGGGGAAACCCTGAGATGGGTATGTTAATGATTTACAAGTCACTGTATGTTATAATTTCCTATTACGTGCATTTGGCTCAGATTTCAGCACGTCACACACAGGAAGTAAGCTACAGGATTTTAACTTTCCTACATTTTGAACTACTTTCATGACAAATCTGTTGAACCAAAAGTGGTTTAATAAACCCAGAGATAGGTCTTTGACTTTGGGGAAATTAGCTTTTTTTTTAATTCCTCTAACAATTGCCAGACGTTCTTATTTCTATACCAGTTTGAACAAATGTGGTATATTTTTATTAAGTTTCCCTGCATCTAATAAAGTAAGTTTTAATATAATTTTGAGACTTAGATTATTTTTATTCATTTGTCCAGCATTGCTGCCCAAAACTTCTTACCGCTCCAGGCGCAGTCTCTTGACCACGTGCTCGGCCACGTGATCTTGCGCGTGCTCGACCAGTCATTTTCGGCTTTTTAGGAAGTACCTGCGGTTTGGAAAGGAGAAAAAAAAAGATTACATTGCTGTTCCAACTATTAAGAAATGTTCTTAGTACAATTTAAAAACAGAAAGCAATACTAAGACAGTTGAACAACTGCCACATTTTTCCTAGCAAAACTTTTAGTTAACATTCGGCACATTCAGTCAAAGGAGAAGCTAACCAGCAAGGCCTCCTAACATACGAACACGYGTTAGCTAGCAACCTGCTGCTAGCAGTAGATAGAATAAATTACAAAACTTTTTAAAATGAAAAACAAACAAAAAACACTAATTTTACCAAGGGACAAATATCTAGCCTTTTTTTAATCAAACATTTTAGCTAAACTATTGAACAAATCCATCCTTTTTATTCAAGAAAACTGTTGCGGTAGGATTTCATTTTTTGCTATTGATTATTAACATACATTTAGCTAAATTTAGTAGAAAATACTCACTTTTGAGGGTTTTTTTTYCCTTTAAAACAACGATGAAAACTTGCTACCTTCTCGCGCACCTGCTTCGGAATGAATAGTTCGTCTACTGCCTGGCTCGCGCTCAGCCTCCGCGGATAAAATTCCCTCTTAAAAAACATGTGTCGTCAGATTCTGGTCTAGTATTTTATGGCCACATATTTGTATTATAAGATACATAAACAGTTATTAAAACATTTAAATTCTTCCAATACAAGAGTTGTCTACGTATTAATAACAAAAGAAACGTTGTTATTCAGGAACTACTTTTCGAAGCGCAGTTTTCCATTTCACTTGTGGCTGTTCTTTGTATTTTTTTTTCATTGTGCATTCTCAACAAAGACCAGTAGATGGCGCCACATGTCTAATTTACTGGCTTTGTTCAAGGTACCGTATTTTAACTCAGCAAATCTAGGAAATATGTTGGTTTATTTTAAAAAAAATACCTGGCAAGTTTTGGAATTTACCCTCAGCGTGGTGAAAATGAAAATAACTACTAAAGTGTCACTATCACAAGACAAAGCTGAGTCTAGTTTGTGATTATAAAAAAGGCCTACATGTGCTTATTGAAAAAAAGTAAGCCTTAAAAAATGTCCATTTATTTTACAGCTATACAGCCAAATATGTTATGGAAGCTTCTATTAAGTCTGATACAATTTAACTTAATTAATTTCACCTTTGTGGTAGGAATCATTTCACAAAGTCAGAACTTTTCTTCTTTTGAGAGATGCTTAATCATTATTATTTCCTGCCAAACTTTTCCTTTCTGCTCCACATTCTACTATTTGAAAGGGAACCTGGCACCTCAGAGGGCATCTTAGGAGGATGTATGCAAGTCTTTCATGTCTAAGATCTAAGACTGATAATATATTCAGACCAGAGGGACGATTCTGGGAGGACCTGCTTTAGTCACTGTTTACCTGCTGGAAGAGGACTGAAGAGAGATGAAGCAAAAAGCAGTGACTTGAATGTCATCAAGTCTGGTTGTTATGTAAAAGCGGAAACATAAAGCAAACGCTAGAAGAGCCCAGCATTCCTTTGATGAATGCATATCGCCCACTGCATTTTATGTTAGATAAGAGTTRTAGCCATCATGATCAAACTTAAACAAACAATAACAATGCGAGTCACACTYATATATCTTGGTTTATGTGTTAAAGTTCTCTGCTACTATCACTCCAAAATTTAGCACAATATCTGTAAAACTGTCTGAGTTTTACTTACGTTTGTGTTTTTCTAAGATCAGTTGTAGCTCCTGAAGTTAATCACTTGTAGAGGAGCATCAAGTGAATATCTCTTGAACGTTTAATTAAATCMTTAAYAYGGTTCATGAGRTATTTTGCTAACARACAGACAAACTTGACTCCAAATTGTTAAAGGCAACATTTTAACAAGAGAATTTGTGAGATCTGACAGCACTCTGTGACAGGAGTCAGCAAGACATTTGAGCTGAAAATCTGAAGCTGTTTTTGTGTTTTGATTCTAGCAGCTTGAATCAGACTGACTGCACTATTTAATCATGTACATCTGTCATCTGATGATTTTTTTACTGCAAGTTTTATTACATTTCATCCTGTGGTTCATGAGATATTTTAATATAAGACAGACTAGCACAAACATTAAATCATTATCACCCGCCTTCACAGCGACATGTGGATGCATCAGTCAGAAATTTACATACAATGTTGAACCGTGTGCCAGCTCCACAAAGGTGCAGCACAGGGAATACTTTGATCAAAACAAAAAAAGGGAAGAAAGTTTTCTTCAAAAGCAATACTATTTCTAAAAGAAGACATGAAAAGAGGGCCATAGAGAAAAAGATTTAGAAAAGAAAAGGAAAAAGAAGAAACCGGTGTCAGTGAGAGGACTGCCAGCTGAGCGTTGTGAGGCTGAGAAAGGTGCACCCTGCTAAGGACGGTGATGAATGCGCTTCAGGCTTCAAGCTCGCCCTGCAGCCTCCAGCAGGGCACGGATTCCACGCTCACGCTAATCAAGCTCTGCGAGATCCTACGGCCCAAAGCTGATGAAAGGAAACACGGAACACAGTTAGTGTATCAGACTGACTGCACAATCCTCCCTCCTCACAAAACACACGCTTCTCACCAACTGCTTTCTGTGTGGAATTGTGGCTTTTGTCTTCAACCTCATTTCCTGCTTCAGTCATTAGAAACCAAACAAGATCAAAGCTTTGGGTTTACATAATTCACAGGGACTCTATTAGGCCTGAACCCAGAAACCAGAGCAAGAGGGAATTCCTAATAATAAGGATCTACCATACCATGATATCCGTAAGCGGGTTAGGAAAATTAGATTATTCTCTCCTTGCATACCATGGAAACTAATCTGCTCTGCATCAGAGTGTTTCTTTTTTTATATAACAAAAACTCAGGTGCCTTTGCATCAAAAATAAGTTGCGTGGAATAAATAGTAAAAGTAAGATTCTGAAATAAACTCCAGATCCTTAATTATTAAAATAAACTAATTTTAGGCATTATTTTATTACTGAAGGCAGAAAAAAGAGATTAATCCAATGTTTATATTTGTCATGTCGATGTGTGCGTGCATGTGTGTACGGGTTTTTCCTACAACATGGGGTATTTTTGACAAAAAAAATAAGCAGCCAGGTGGGGACCGAAGTGAATCGTGGGGACCAATGTCAGGTC